CCGTTGGGGCCCCGGCCGATACCGCCGGTTGGTGACCGAAAACCGAATCCCTTCTTCCCCAACTCCGGCACCCTGTGTTTCCTTAGTCCGCCGTCGTTCGTTCCCAAGAAGTTACTAGTCAGATGCATGAAGATGATGAAAGCTTTTTACCCTATCAGCCCGGCCCATTATTTCGATGAGCCCATTTTTTAATAACCAAGCTCACCAATACTAAGCTCCCCTCAAAAAAACCAACAATACTTATTTGCTTTCCTCCTCCTTTTTTATTTTATTTGTTTGCTAAGTGAAACGCACTATGAAACTTTAGCTAAATTTTTTTAAAAAATGCAGTAGAAAACACCACGACCTCGTCTGGATGAAACCCTAGCTGCCAAAGTCCAAACATCCTCCTCCTCCTCCTCCTTCTTCATCTTTCCTTCGAAGCTCCATTGACGTCGTTGCTGCCGCCTTCTTTCTCCGTTCTCCTCTGTCCGTAGCTACCATGAAAGTAATTCGGTGACTGACCGAAACTGAACCGACGAATATCGGCCACCGAACCGTCGATTCCTTATTCCATCGGTCGATGTCAATTCCTTTTTTTTTTAAAAAAACTGACAATGTATGTTGGTGACCAAACCGGCGAAAATCGTCGGTCACTAACCAATGTACAGTCCTAAGATGAACGATGCGGATGTGCCCACTAGAAGAATGATGGTGTCGAGGGTATATATATTAATAGGTAAACATTTACCTATTAATTTTAATCTAAAAGTATATATTTGATGAGATTGAAAATAAAGGGTACAATTTTTGAATAAAGTTAAAATAAAGGGTAAAAAATGTAAATATCTCTAAATTTATTTTATGACACTAATAACCTGCATGTTATATTTATATAATCTACAGGTTATCATTCATAATTAGTTGATTATTTTTCATAATCTAATGGTTATATTTTGTAACTTACAAATTATCTTTTCATAACCTATAATAGCATTAAAATTTTGTGTAATGACAAATATAATAGAGTTGAAAAAAATAATGATTAAACTTAAAATTTTCTCAAAAAATTATAAATGTGTACCTTTATTTAAAATTCTAAAATATTGTACTTGAATTTAGAAACAAATTTGCAAATTCAAAAGTGTACCTTTTTTAAAAAAAAATTTAAGAGACATTTTCGGGTGCGCTAACATATCGATATATTAAATTTTATATTCGTTAAATTTATATAAAATCATGTAAAAATTAAAAATTACGTAAATCTAATCTATCAGTATACAAAGCGTATCAAAAAAATCTCCATAATTCTAATTTTAAATTGTACTTGAATTCATGTAGAAGAAAAATCACAGATTAACCTCGTTCATTTCACTAATTCGAGTTTTTAATTTTAAATTTTTATAATAAAAAATTCTCATAAGATATCACATTTAATTTTTTTTATTATAATAAAAAATTCTTAAAAAATATTACATTTTAACTTAAATTAAAAATTTAAATTCATAAAGTAAACAAGTCTAAATCAGATCGGCACAGAGATACACAGAAATTAGATGTTGAAACAAAAGAACAGGTATAAGATAAAAGAGAGTCAAACACCAATTCCAATAAAGCGATACACACCAATGATTTCTCTCAACTTTTGGTGTGCCTGCACACGTCGAACACGTGTTGTTTGATATATACGCTTTCGGGAGCCAATAATTCAATTATTTATAAATTAAGTATTTGAATTTAAAATTTAAATTTTATTATAATAAAAGTTTTAAAAAATTATCATATTTAATTTTTTATTATGATAAAAAATTCTCATATAAAATTATATTTCAATCTGAATTTAAAAATTTGAATTAATAAATTAAACGGATTCTATATATTCTATGTTCGGGCTCATTTAATTCGTTGATTCGAGTTTTTAATTTGAGTTGAGATAACTAAACGGGCCCTATATATTCTATGTTCGGGCCCGTTTAGTTCGTTAATTTCAGTTTTTAATTCGAGTTGAGTTGTGACTTTATGAGAGTTTTTTATTGTAGTAAAAAAGTTAAATGTGACTATTTTTAATAATTTTTTACTGTAAAAAAATTTAAATCGGTGAAATGAACATGATAAAAATAAATCATGCATGTAGTTGAGAGAATAAAATCCCAGTCAAATAGATCAGCTTCAGAAAATGAAGGAAAAAAAATGTTAGTATAGAAGAAACTATCAAGAAAAGAAAATACTAACTAGACAGTACAATTATCATGTATAGAAAAGAAAATTTTTAGAGAAAAATAAAACTCATAAAAAAATTAAAAAAAATGAATAGGAAATCGTCCAATTGGTGAAACCATATCAATGGGAATGAAAGAGGGTAGAATCTAGGTTTTTTTTTTTAAGTCCACCAAAGCTTCTAAGGCTTCTGGGTTAACTTCAGCTTGGGCTTCTTGGCTTGTATTTGCACCATTCTCCTCTGGTTGAAAAGGAGTCGTCCTCAAGTCTAAAGGCTCCACAAATGGCGCAAGATCAGCAACATTGAAAATTGGGGACACGCCATAGTCATCCGAAAACTCCAACCTGTAAGCATTGTCACCCAATTTCTAAACCACTCGAAAAGGAACATCAGCTCTTGATTGCAATTTAGGATACTTTCGGTTAGGAAACCGTTCCTTCCTTAAGTATATCCACACCAAATCTCCAACTTCAAAGAGTTGCTTATGTCTTTTCTTATCGACTTTCTCCTTGTATGTCTTAGTTTATTTTTCAATCTCTTGTTTTACTTCCTCATGTAACTTCTTCAATTGCGTAACTCTCTCTTCAGCATCACCACTAAAAGAATGATTTTGAAGAAAAGGAGATAGGTTTAATGGATCGAGAGGATTCTTACCATAGACTATTTCAAAAGGGCTTCTTCCGGTTGTTCGATTAACCGACTTGTTAAATGCAAACTCGGCATGTGGCAACAAGGATTTCCATTCTCTTACGTTCTTCTTGATTATACTTCTTAGCAAGGCTCCCAAACTTCGATTAACAACTTCAGTTTACCCATCAGTTTGGGGATGATACGATGAGCTATGCTTCAACTCAGTACCGAGCTTAGCCCATAGTGTACACCAAAAATGACTAAGGAACTTGGTATCACGATTAGAGACAATACTTCTAGGAATGCCATGCAACTTAACAATATGATTAAAGAACAAAACCGCCACGTGAGTTGCATCACTAGTCTTATGGCATGGAATGAAGTGTGTCATCTTAGAAAACCTATCCACAACAACGAAGATAGAATCTTTACCTCCTTGCGTCCTTGGCAAACCAAGTATAAAATCCATGCTAATGTATTCCCACGGTGCTATGGGAATTGGCAAAGGCTCTTACAACCCCTTATTGCTTCCATGCATCTTTGCCTTTATACAAGTTTCACACCACTCGATAAGCCTCTTAACATCTCGCTTCAACTTAGGCCAATAGAAGCTTTCTTGAATCAGCTGTAACGTTTTTGAATGTCTAAAGTGACCAGCAAGTCCACCTTCATGTGCTTCCTTCACAATTGACTCCTTCAAAGAGCCTTGTGGAATACAAAGTTGCTTCCTATAGTAAAGGAAGCCATCTCTAATCACAAACATTCTTTGTGGACTCTCCAAACACTTCTTCCATATCTCTCCAAAGTCCATATCAGCCTCATAAAGCTCCTTAATATGGTCAAAACCGAAAATAGTAGTTTGCATGATGGAAAGCAAACTATGTCTTCTACTAAGAGCATCGGCCATCTAATTATGCTTTCCAGCTTTGTGTTTGATAACAAACTGGAAATTTTGAAGGAATTCTACCCATTTTGCATGTCTTGCATTAAGTTTTTGTTGATGGTTAAGATACTTTAAAGCCTCATTATCAGAATATAACACAAATTCTCTAGGCAAAAGATAATGACTCCAGTGTTGCAAAGCATGAACAATAGCATAAAATTCTTTCTCATAAGTAGAATACTTTAACTTAGGACCATTCAATTTCTCACTATAGTAAGCAACGGGTTTACCTTCTCGGCTAAGAACTCCCCCGACTCCAACACCCGAAGCATCACATTCTACTTCAAATAGAGCATCAAAATTAGGCAACTGTAAGATAGGAGCTTGTGTCATCTTCTTCTTGATTAGTTCGAGACTCTTTTGCGCTTCTTTATTCCACTTGAACATGCCTCCTTTCAAACACTCAGTTATAGGAGCAATCAAAGTGCTAAAATTCTTAATGAACCGCCGATAAAATGACACCATGCCATGAAAACTCCTAATATCTAAAATTGACTTAGGAATTGGCCAGCTTAGGATTGCCTCAATCTTGATCGGACCAGCCTGTATCCCTGCACTAGTTACTATGTAACCAAGAAAACAAACTCGGTTAGTATAAAAAGTGCACTTCTTTAGTTGTGCATATAACTTTTCTTTCCTTAGGGTTTCAAAAACCTTCTCCAAATGCTCTCCATGCTTGGCTTCCTCTTTGCTGTAAACTAAGATATCATCAAAATAAACAATAACAAATTTCCCCATAAATGGTCTAAATACATGAGTCATAAGCCGCATAAAGGTACTAGGGGCATTAGACAAACCAAAAGGCATAACAAGCCACTCAAACAAGCCACTCATACAAGCCTTGACTAGTCTTAAAGCAGTTTTCCACTCATCACCTTCTCGCATACGAATTTGATGGTATCCGCTCAATCTTCGAAAAGATCTTAGCCCCATGCAATTGGTCAAATAAATCATCTAACATAGGAATTGGGAAGCGGTATTTGATGGTGATTTTGTTGATGGCACGACTATCAACAGACATCTGCCAAGTGCCATTCTTCTTAGGGACAAGCAAAGCTAGTACGACACAGGGACTAAGGCTCTCTCTTATCAATCCCTTCTCCAAAAGTTCTTCAACTTGCTTTTGAAGTTCAACTTGTTGTGTAGGATTCATCCTAGAGGCTGCCCTGTTTGGTAATGGTGCTCCCGGAATCAAGTCAATTTGATGTTGAATTCCATGCAGAGGTGGAAGTTGCATCGGAACGTCTTCAGCAATCACATCATCAAACTTTGTAATCAGTTCCTTGACACGTGGTTCCAAGAATTGTTCTTCCTGCTTTTGCTCTTCCTTTGCCATGGCTATGTACACAGGTTCCCCTTTGTTGATTTGATCAATAACCTCAAACCTGGTCATTAGAGTATCACGCATGGGCTGATTCTTCTTTGCAAGCTCGTTTTGGTGCATTGGTCTCAAGATAATCTTATGCCCATCCTTTGTAAAGGAGTAGGTATTAAGATGCCCATCATGTAGGATATGTCTGTCATACTTCCACGGTCTCCCAAGTAATAGATGGCAAGCATCCATCTTCATCACATCACACCAAATCTGATCCTTGTAATTCTTGCCAATAGAAAAGGAGACTAAACAACGTTTGGTTACCTTCATGCATCCACCATCTTGTAACCACCGGATGTTGTAAGGTTTGGGATGTTTCTCAATCTTTAATCCCAACTTAGTCACCATCTCTTCTGAAACAGCATTAGTGCAACTTCCACTATCCACGATCACCGAACATACCTTACCATGTGAGGTTCATCTAGTGTGGAACAGTGCATCTTGCTGTCATAGTTCTTTATCTACATGTTCCGTATCTAAACTCCTTTGAATAACAAGCATCTCTCCATCATCTGGATCAACATAGGTGTCATTATCTTTTTCATAATTGTCATCATCTACTTGCTGGTTGGCTTCGTTGTAAAGTTCTTCATCTTCATCAATCACCATAATAGCCTTTTGATTGGGACAATTAGCTTGTATGTGTCCAAAACCTTGACACTTAAAGCACCTTCTTCTCATAGCATCTCCTTGAGGTTTCTTCTCTTCAACCTTGGAATAAGGTGAATTAGAAGAATTACCTTTGTGGAATGCCTTTGAATTTCCACCACCGGAATTACTACTCCCCTGGTTGGGGTAATTCGGCCTCTTGTAGGAAGAAGAGGTCGATTTCTTCACTTCTCTTTGCTGTTGTTTCTCCACGTTTATTGCAAGCTTACAGACATCATTGAAAGTCCAATAAGGTTGCAAACGAATGACATCAGCAATACTCACTTTGAGTCCTCCAATGTAGCGAGCTATGGTTTGAAACTTTGGCTCCTTAATATCACACTTGAGCATGAGAAACTCAAACTCACGTGTGTAATCCGCCACAGTTAGGTCTCCTTGCCGAAAACTATAAAACTTCAGGTACGCCTCTTGTTAGTAAGTGTCTTGTACGAACCTTCTTTTCATCTCACTCTTCATCTTGTACCAAGATATGATTCGTACTTTGCCTAATCGTTCCCGTTCACGCTTAAGATTCTCCCACCATAAAGAAGCATAGCCTTTAAGTTTCACCGCCACCAACTTAACCTTTTTCTCCTCTGAATAAATACATGTTCAACTGTCAAAATCCACTCCACAAAGTCATCACCTTGTGTTTTGCCATCAAACTTCGGAATTTCCACCTTAGAATCATCTCTTGTTTTACGATTCCATCTTTGATTGTCAAACCTTCTTCTTGGCTGACCTTCTTCATCACTAGACTCGTCATACGCCTCTCCATGATTGGATTGTACTTTAGATTCGCCTCCACTTTCTAGTTCAGCCACTTCACGCCGTCGTTGGGGACGTTGGACACCATGTTCTCATCTAAGGGGTTGTGGACGTGCTTCTCCTTGAACCTGAGGGGCTGGTTGAGGTCGTGCTATTTATTCAAGCCTTAAGTGCATCATTCTCATGAATTCTGCAATGCTGTCACACATCTCCCTTTGACTTTGTTCTAGGACTGTCATCCTAGCTTCAACCGAGGCTTTGAGATTGTTAAGATGTTGCAGCATCTTGGACGGTCTTTCTTGTAACCATGTATCTGATACCAAATTGATGTGATTTTCGACTAGGATGAAAGAAATTCATGTAAAATATGATCGAATAAACTCTCACGCGAAAAAACTTAATTGATCGAATAAAATAGATTGTCCCAAAGTCACCACTTGCATTCAATCAACGTGATAAAGAAACACCACACGAAAATTAAAGAACAAGCTAAAGACTCACACCACCTTGTCTGGAACAGAAAACAAGGATAAAGAAGAAAATAGCATAACATGCCACTTTTATTAATCACTAAAAAAAACTGCCCACAATTCAACGTGTAAAGTCCCTTTTATAAGCCTGGGGTTGTACTTAAAAAGAGTAAGGTTGACAATTAACTAAACTTGCCTAAAAAACAAAACAAGAAAGAAAACATAAATGTGTGTTGAATTACATAAAAGGAATGTAAATAAAATCTTAGAAATCAAATTAATCCTAGTTTCCAAAGAACTGTAAAACATAATAAGGGAACTTCTTCTCTTGACTCCCACGCCTAAAGGTTGCTTCTTTGGGCCTTCAAAATTCAGACTTCTTGTAAACAAGTCCACACGCATGCACCTGGACCTATTGCATGTCCATCAACACCAATTAATCTAGCTTGGTCGAATTCAACAAAGCCCACCAAAGCTTCTAAGGCTTCTGGGTTAACTTCAGCTTGGGCTTCTTGGCTTCATTTTGCACCATTCTCCTCTGGTTGAAAAGGAGTCGTCCTCGAGTCTAAAGGCTCCACAAATGGCGTAAGATCAGCAACATTGAAAATTGGGGACACTCCATAGTCATCTGGAAACTCCAACCTGTAAGCATTGTCACCCAATTTCTGAACCACTCGAAAAGGACCATCAGCTCTTGATTGCAACTTAGGATACTTTCGGTTAGGAAACCGTTCCTTCCTTAAGTATATCCATACCAGAATGCTTCCCAACAAGTGTTGCATTATGATTGAGGACCATTTGGCATTGTTTTTAGAGGTTGTTTTAAACTTTTTTTAAGAAGCTACTGCATATCAGGGTGTTTGATCAAACCTGCTTTTGTTCAGCAGCTTCTAAAACTTGCTTCCCTACAACAGAATTTAAAAAGCAGGTCAGGAGTTGCTTTTCCACAGCAACTTATGTTGTCATTGTCTAAATTTACTAAAATGACCCTAATAATAAAACTTAATTCTCAATCAACTTATTTTATTTCTTCCAAATCAAATTGAAGGATATATTTTATTTTAAATGTCTATTTGAAAATTAAAAATCTTTAATAAATATCTTATGCTAAATTTTAATAATATATTTTTATTATAATGTTGCAAGTTTGAAAAATAATTTACCTTTAGTTCTTTACGTTATTTGATTTCTTTATAGATATATAATTTTTTTAATTGAATAAAACTAATTTATTTTTAGAGATATTTTAATTAGTAAAATGAAAATGATATGTTTTTAGTATTTTGGTGTATAAATATTATGAATATCAACTATAAAAATAGAATTAAAACTAATTATAAGTATGTGTATTAAATTATGTCTATTTCAGTCATTCTATATCTTTACAACAATTTTGTACATAGTTTACTAAACACTTAAATTTCTGCTTCTAATATTCACAGCAACTTTGAAAAAAAATTTACCAAACAGTTACATGTTTTCGGTCACAGCAACCTCTGACTAACAACACAGTAACAACAAAAATTTTTAACAGCACAGCAATGCCAAATTGACCTTTAGTAAATTGAGCATACTTTTTTTCTTTTGAAATACATTAAGCATATTTCTCTATTTAGAACAATAACACCTATGGCCTAATGTTGAATGGTGTGACGTGAGGAAACAAAAAGTTTTCTAATTCTTAATCTTATGTTGAATGTTTTAAAAGGGCTCGTTTACTTTACAACCTTATGTTCAACTAAACTTTATTACTATGCGCCCCTAAAATTTTCTTACATCCTAAACTTTTTGCACAATATTGCCAAAAAAAAATTATTCACACTCTTAATTTTTACTTCTGATTATACTTTATCACACAATTAATGTAGATTAAAGTTTTACTTTATCTCAAGTCCCATGAAAAGCTTTTTTTTTTTTTTTTTTTTCCCTAAGGTGAATCTATCCACAATTAGTGGAAGTGTACGTGGACCATGAGAGAAAACGAGAGTGCAAGACCATCCAAAGAAGTTATTATTATCATATCATGCAAGGCTTATGCTTACTCTCACGTTGCTCTTTGTTTTTAAAAAAGAAAAAAGAAAAATAAAAGAGCTTGTCACTCCCTGTGAATCATATACAAAATAACAAAAAAATCTCTAATAAAATAATTCCATAATAAATTGCTGAACATTTTCGATTAAGAAAATTGACACGTCCGAGAAAAAAAAAGTTAAATACTCCCCGATACATCAGGTCTTTCAAGTATTATGTGAATTTGTACTTTAAAAAATATGTAAAGTCTTAAGCCTCACAATCGTATAATTCAGTAAATATATTTTTTATATTTTTGTGTAACATAATAATATATGTGTAATATTGAGTTTGTTTAAATATAATATTTAATAATATATGTGTTGTATTACCTTTTTTAAATGTTACAAGTGAAATTAAGTATTATACAAACGAAAGAATTATATTATATGATTTAGAAAAAAAAAAGTTAGAAACTCGTTTAATTTATTAATTTAAAATTTTAATTTAAGTTAATATGTGATTTTACGTGAGAATTTTTTATTATAATAAAAAAATTAAATATAATTATTTTTAAATTTTTTTTATTATAATAAAATTTAAATTTTAAATTTAAATCGATAAAATAAATAGACTCTATATTATGTGAGATTTTTTTTTCCTTTTAATATCTTTTCAATATACATCTTTTGTATAAAAAGATGAGGATGTGCGCTATTCTTTTTTTCCTGAAACAAAATTACATTAGTATCCTGGACTTCTTATGCAAGTGCTTTGAGCAGTTACGGACCGCAATTAATCACCATTTTTTAGGAAGAAAGAGAGAAATATGTTAAGATTTGAGATGAATTAAAATTAAAAGGTTAATAGTTTACATAAGTTCATAAATATGTCAAATTACTGTTTTCGTTCATAACTTGTCTGGTTATGAACCATAACTTGACAAGTTATTGTCCATAATTCACGGTTTTTATTCATAACTTGTCTAGTTATGAACCATAACTTGACAAGTTTATCCATAAATTATCTGGTTATGAATCATAACTTGACAAGTTATGGCCTATTAATTTCTATAACTAAAAGTTTGCCTATATACTTTCTTAAGCTTTTCATATTGACCTATTTTCTACTATTTTCATTTTTTTATTGAACTGTAATTAATCAACTAATGACATGTTTATTTATTAGGAGTGGAGAATAATAATTAAAAATCAGAATTACTCTCATGTTTATTTATTTATTTTTATTTTAGAATAGAAATAAGAATGTGTGGGTCCCACACTAATTTAGAGTTGAGAAATGAGATTGACACTCCTCCACGCCTTATCAAATTAGCACTCCCAATCCTGATAGTAAATGTGAATTATGATTTTATTCTTAATTCTACTAACAAATTTGTGAATAGAAAAGATAAAAGTAAAAAATTAAAAATGCCTTAATTTACTTTCACGC